ACTCAATCAATAATCACCATGGCCTGATAATCACCACGTTTTCACTAACTTAGTCATCTGAAGTGTGCTGCCTCTACCCCAAACCTTCCTGTGCCGTTACGACTAACCCGTGGCTCTAGAGCTGGGAGGAAAATGACCTGCCACCCACTAGTGGGGTGGCCCTGGCACCTCTGTGTTCCCACAAGCCCAGCAGTTTACCCCAGTTTCCACTGCCGGGAAAGCGGTTCCTGTCCACGTTTAGTACAAGTCCATATGCCAGGAATATGGCAGGAGGTTAACAACAAAAATTCCCCAAACAGGTTATCCTGAAGCCTCTTAATTTCAAATTACCAGGACTAACAACTGCTCACCAGGCACAGAAGAGCCTTTTCCTTTAACATACATTGTTTCTATCTAAAGGAATCCAAAATATATGCTACATATGGGACAAGTATTTTGTTATTTTATTCTTTGTTGATTTTTTTTAAGAAATAAATTGAGAGATGTAAAGATGCAAATAATTTACAGTCTTTATATAACCCTGAATACCTCATACTTCCCAGACTCTTCAGTCAAGAAGGGCAGGTTTACAATGCATCAAAGCTGACTACATTCACAATATAATGAATATATGTTAGTGTAAATTCACCTCAGCCTGCTGAAAGTGGGCACAATATACAATTATTTTTCATCTATATGAATGCAAGGTGGCAGCTTGCTGGATCCACACTAATTTTGTGAGGTAATGAAAACCTAATAATATTGTTGTATGGCCTGGAATACTAATTCTTTCATTCTTTCCCTCCACTTCCATCTCTTCTTTCCTTCTTTGTTAATGTCTTGCTTTGCCTAAGTATTATACATGTATTTTTTTATGCTTACGTGTTTTGGATTTACTGCAGCTAGATAAGTATGACTGCGTTTTTTAGAAGCTTTTCCAAAATTAGAGGGTGATAATAGGAAAGCTGAGTAAAGCTATGGTAGTTTTGACTCAAAGGTGTTGGCTGCTTCACTGGGTCTATGTCACTCCAAATCTTTTCCTGAACTAAATACCAAAATCATATTCTCTAACTATTTGTCCAATGGTTAGGGGTTTGATCACCTGCCAGGTTTCAGGAGAACCAGAAGCATGGTGACAGGCTTTATATGCAATTAACATTCAAAGCTGTGACCTGGATTTTTTCTGAGATTACCGAAAATACGCTGACATGAGTATATTCTGATGAGATGCAGTAATACAACTCTTAGTGCCACCCAGTGCTGCACGAGCCACTAAAGCATTTTTATCTTCTCAACGTCATCTTTATCTTTAGAGTTACTTTGTAGGGGCCATCTGGTTCCTTTAGATGTAAGTAGATCAAGTTGTACCAGTCGGCTAGCATTGACTATTCAAATGCCAGCAGATAACGTATACAGCTGTAATGGAGAAATACAGGCAGTATGCTAAGAACACGATATGCACCATACACTTGGCCCTGATGAATATTGGTGCCTTTTTCCATATAGACAGCATTTCCTTGACCATGTTCCTTCCACATATACATTTCACTTTAGTGAAACTTATAAAGGTATACAATTATGTGAAAGTTAGATAGATAGATGGATATCCTTCTCATTTGATAGTGAGAAGAATAAAATTGTGAACTCAGACTTCAACCTAAATACTGTGGCCTGAGATTCTCTGCCCTTGCTCTTGATCAAGGCTGTTTCTGATCAAAACTGCTGCTGCTGGCTTAATAATGTTGGTGTGAACCGTGATGAGATATGAACTGTGACTTCTTTAACTGTGCTGGAAAACTCCCAGAGGCAAAGGCTACACCTGCCAAGCTGTTCTTTGGCCAAAGTAACTCCTTTCACCTGGGTAGGGAGAGCCAGAATAACTAGGTCAAGAAAAGTGTGTTTTGCCAATGTAGGCATCTAATCTGAGTCTGATCATTTAGGGTCTAACAAGAAAGAGATGGGCATCTCCAGAGGGGAGAGCCATCCTGCCTTAGACACCTGTTTTAGGTTGGAACAAAGTGTTCACTGGAGGTCTTCTCTCGGTATCCCAGGGCTCTGACCAGTTACGTTTTATTAGACATCCAACTTTGAGAAGACTAAAATTAGGGGAGGTGGATCCTGTCCCTAAGGAAGGCCAGGTCTTCAAGGTAGAGAGAAAGGTGCACTGCTTTAATTATATCAGTGCGCTTAAAGCAGCAGACCTGCCCTGAGTTAAACCAGTTTGAAAACTTGAGGAATATTTCTCTTTACAAGCAGGTTGTTTGTACGGTAGGTGGCAGCAATGGACAACCTGACCAGCCTTCGTGCAGAGTCCCAAGTCTGGGGGTTGCTTTGCTGATTCCCTTCATCCTCTTGCAATTATCCTCCTTTCAAAGCAAAGGGAAGGGGCTGTTGTGCCTTCAGAAACTACAGTAAGTTACACCTGATATCTACATAGTCACTGATGTTCAGGAAGAAACACAAATTTTGTATAATGCTCCTAGACCTAAGTCCCTGTGTGCTATATGTACTTGGCAGAAGTGGGGACTTGGAGTTGAAGGCGTAAAAAGTCATATTATATCACAGGGCTTTATGATCCAGACAAAGGGATTTTGACTCCAGAGCCCTCTGTACGTGCATAAGTGGAGAGGAAGAGCAATCTCTCTATGTGCAACGCACTGCCCAGTGTCTCATCAGGTCGTGCCACTTGAATACCAGAAGGTAAAATCTTATTCACAGGAGCTTCATTCACAGGTAAGGTGAAGGCAAGTGCTTCATTCACAGGAGCAAGCCAGCTGAGCTGAGTAAGATTTTGTATATACTTAAGTGTTTATTGCCATACTGAGGATGGTACAGCTTTGCTTTCAGATAATTATATTTCTTCATGTATACATTGCACAATAATCCACTATTGGAGAATAGGTCTAGGATAGGTTTAGAATAATATTCTTATTTTAAGGAAAATTATACTATTCTGTAAACAAATTGGTCAAGTCTTTCTCAGAAGGGTCCAGATACTAATTTTTTTACTATCAAATTTGCACTTTAGGATTAATTTTCCATACAACTGATATTATAATATTTCATTTTATGTGGTGTGTCTCTGGAGGTTGCCATGTGCATGTGGGCAAACTGTGTGTGTTGACCAAAACTGAGGCTTCTTGTAAGCAAAGCAATTTTAATCTAAAAGAATTATTCTATTTTCAGGTAAAATAGTAAAATTAATTTAATCTATAGGATCTCTGTCTTGTTTTAAATCCTGACACTGGTTGTGGGCTTCAAGCGCTGCAAGCCAAAACTATATAAAATAGACGTATATAAAATATATTTTAAGGAACAATATAATATTCACTGTGGCCTGATTTCACTATATGAAGTCTGGATTCCAGATGTGTTTGGCCAATGTGTGGTACTTCTGATTCTTTCATTATATCAGTTCTATATCCTCACCAAGTTAACCTGTAAGTTCATGACACTTGTTTTCTAAATGCCTCCTGTAATGATTTTTAACTGAAGTAGTCATTCTTCCCCCTCTTCTTGAGAAAACATGCCTGGACCATGGCTGATAGGCAAATTACCTTGTCTACCCACAGAGGTGGCGTCTGACCATCCAAGAGAAAAATGAGTATGTTGATTGCTGGTTTTCCCATCTGCACTCAAGACAGAGAAGGAGACGTTACAGGAGTTGTCATTACTGAAACTTGATTCAGTACCTGATATCTACCATTCACCTTCTCCCTGAGGATTTGTGTAGGCATCAGGCTGACAGGTACAGGGGGAAGAGCACTCATGTTCAAAGGTAAGGCCACCCTTACCTTCTGTAAAAAGTACAATGCAACAGGAAAGGTAACACTAGCTAGTAAAGTTGATTGTTTTTTCCTGAGGTCACGAACTTGATCCTATGGCAAACAAAGTCAATGATAGTCGTTTTGTTGTTCAGGCATTTCCAGCTTGGGCTCTTGAGATGTTACCAGCCATTCTTAGTATTAAAGCAGAAAGAGTGTAGTCTTTTCCACTGTGCTGAGGGAGACATTTTACCAAAAAAGGCATATTCAGGTGAATCAAAACTCTGCACAGAAATGTATCTTATAAACTGAATGTTTCAAAATAGCACAAACAAAAGTTTTATATTGTCCCCTACAATAATACAAAAGATGTGTAATCAAATATTTCCTTCAACCAATATTATTTTGAACATGGAGAAATTTTACCAGAAATGAAAGCAAGAATTTTTTAGGTAGCTTCCAAGCCTTCCAGAAAATTAGGTCCATCATTTATTTGTGTTTTCTGCCTACAAAAAAGTCTACAGAAACATCTTACTTGCAAAATCAAGGGCCTATATTCTTTTTCTTTTAGTCAAATAAATATTGTCTCAACTAAGAGTTAAAACAGTCTGCCCTGGTTGTGTACCTCAAAACGAACTGGCATAGCTCACCTTTTCTAAAGTTTCCTCCTCTTACTAACTGCAGAGGAATAAGTCCATCACGTGAAAAGACCTTATGTCTTCACACATGACTCTTCTTTCCGGTTGATGCCTGCTTACACCATGCAGTGCCTCAGAAAGGGATTTTTTTTGGAGCTTTAGAGAACCCTTGTGAGCTTCTGCTGCTGTTTCCAGAAACATTCGTTGCTTCCACCATTTCTCATGACCAATCAGATGTTGAATAGCTAGTATGAGATTTCTATGAACAGTCAGTCTTCAAAGGCACTGATCTATCAGACAGTACTCCGAAGCTATTGCAGCATTATGAAACACTAACTCTAATTCCATTTTAACCCAAGTGGACCTCAATAGTAGATCATATTGTCTGAGGTGGTGTATTATGACTGGGCTGAAGATCAGTAGTAGTTAGAGACAAACTGTGAGGTACTGCTTTGCTTTTGTGATCCAAAGCTTATTTTAAGAGTTACACAATGTCAGAGCTCAAAATACTTCAAATTATTAGGCTCAGAAAAACTCCAGTACCAGCCGTTCTTAGATCTGTCAGAATATTGTCCAACTCACAGAAAGGTAACTCTTGCATGCAGATAAAAAAAGCCTATCATCCCTGCAGGTCTTCTAATCCAAATTCCTTCAAACATTTCTGTTGTTGAATGTTCTCGTCCCCATTCTCTTCTGGTATCCCCATAGTAATCTCTGAGTGCATCTTCATTTGCACTGATATTTGTTTCTGTTGGATAAAAATTACATTATGCACAACATCTGCATTCAGTGGTATTACAAATTCTGAATATTTTTACAAACATGCTACTTATTTGGTGTATCTGGGATTAGTACAGATTACTTACTCTGTCACATAAATGGTTTACAGAGATCATGAGAGTTACTCTCTCAATCTAAAAGTTGTTCACAGGCAAATTTGCTTAGCTGTTCTGAGCCCTAATTTTGTTGCTTGTCACCCTCCAGGATGACATGAGAATGTACCTAAGGTTTATGTCAAAGTCACAGTCTAGCTTTCAGAGTTTATATTTATTTGTTGGATAAAACAGATTATCTCAGCACCATTCTCCACAGTCTTCTTAACTCTTACAGTATGTCCAAAGCCAATGTCTTTGCTATTTCAGGTGTCAGCCATATTTGAGAAACTGATATGTTCCATACGCATTATTCAATTTATCTTTCCTAGAAGTGCCATCAACAGTCATCTCAGCCACTTGTAATCATCTAGACAGTAATTACACAGCTATGCTGACGTCTTCCTGTCAGAGGTATATGCAGTGTTTGTAACAGTTTGGGGACAGAAATCTTTCTCTGTTAGTGATGTTAAATATATTTTTTTGTGGTGATCATTGATTACTCTGATTTTTTATTTATATATTGAATACAAAGACCCCTAAATAACACTGTATGCAGTTCTAGGGTGGAGGGAGATACAGAATATAAGTTTGATGATGATGATTTTATCTTTACATTCTGCCAGTCCATATGTGACAGCCACAACAGGTATTATTAGTTAATTTGTACACTGTTACTGGTGAAAAGTGCACCAACGGATTTTTGCACAGAAAAGGTGGTAAATATGGCACCTTTTGGGTCAAATTTGGTCAAATAATTTTGGCCAGAAGTGTCATAGAAATGACTTTGAATCTTGAGAATAATGCAAGACTTGCTTCAGTCCAGTTCTGGAGCTCTCGGGCTTTGCTTTTCTGAGAAGATGACTGTAAAGAAGAGGAACACAGACTGCTCTTGGGAGCTAGCCCAAGGCTTGTGGAATGAACTGCAGGTGCAAGTTCAAAACACTTCAATCTTGTCATTTGTAATATGATTATACAGCATATGCACATCAGTTTTTCCATAAATTTGTCTTTGGGGAGGTAAAATAAAACAAAACAACCCACGCCTCTTGCTTCACAATTCAAATTGTGATTCATGAATTGAGATGGTCCATGGTTTCTGTCAGAGTTTGCAATCATGTAGGTATGTTTATACAAAAACCAAAGCACAATATTGGAAGGCATACATTTTACCCCTGGGAGAGAAGATGACATAACAGTTCACATTGGCAGTTGTTAGTTACATCGCTGAATACACTATTAGAAGATATTTTGATATTGCAGCGTAAGTACAATGATAAAGTAGGACAGAGTAAAATTAATAGAAATCTTGCAGAGGCTCTGAACAAATGTTTTGAGTACATAGGATGGAGAAAATGCTCATTACAGTTTTCTATTTCAATGATGTTTCCCCCAAAAAAACATAGTTTGGGCATACCTGCACCTTCTCATCGTGTTGCAGGAGGACCAGGTAAGAGTCAATCTTACCATGCCTCCTAGAGCACAGTTCACTCTGTAGCTTAACCTGAGTTATAGGGATCTAGACCACTGCCCAACTAGCACATTTTTTCCTCTAACTCACACAATGACAGACAATGATAAGAAGCTTTGAATGTGCCAGCCAAGGAGCTCCATTAATGATAACCACACAAATATTGAAAATATTTGTTTTCTGTTTTGCCCCATTGACTAAAGGCTTGTAATTTGCCATGAGATAAGCTAGCCTCTGGACTTACAGCACATCAGCTGTTCCAAAGTTAACACCTCTGTACATGGTTTTGTTCCACAGCAGCTGCACAGTTGGGGTAGGTTATGTTGCGTGCATTGTGGACCCTCCTCTTATTTGCCATAAGAATGTCCACATTTACTACAACATACCCAGTGACTTGCAGATCTCCACAAAAACTTTCCCTTTGATAACTTGTCCACATACTTATACATGTAATATCCCATAACTGACTATTCTGCAGGGAGTCAGGGTGATTGCTCCTTAAAATATTGGCCCGTTGATTGTGGATATGCTGAAACACTTCAAGGCACACCATTAATGAAACCACACAAATATTGAAAATATTTGTTTTCTGTTTTGCCCCATTGACTAAAGGCTTGTAATTTGCCATGAGATAAGCTAGCCTCTGGACTTACAGCACATCAGCTGTTCCAAAGTTAACACCTCTGTACATGGTTTTGTTCCACAGCAGCTGCACAGTTGGGGTAGGTTATGTTGCATGCATTGTGGACCCTCCTCTTATTTGCCATAAGAATGTCCACATTTACTACAACATACCCAGTGACTTGCAGATCTCCACAAAAACTTTCCCTTTGATAACTTGTCCACATACTTATACATGTAATATCCCATAACTGACTATTCTGCAGGGAGTCAGGGTGATTGCTCCTTAAAATATTGGCCCGTTGATTGTGGATATGCTGAAACACTTCAAGGCACACTTGACATAATATTCCCCTGAGGATTTTCTCCATCCTGTCTACTGAGATCATTTTCCTGTAACCTCCACAAGCTTTCTGTTCTCTTCTGGCTTCACTACAAACATTGTGCATACCTTTTTACCAGTTTTTCTTAAAAATGACCTGCTGCTCTAAATGTAATGTTGTACCATTCTGATCGCAAGTAATATCGTACATGTCAATGTAGTGAGAGAAAAAAGACAGACACACTCTACCTGGTGGCGAGTCTCATCTGCAGATAACCAAGTTCTGATATTATCTGAAGGATGTGGAACAGGCATGGTTATAACTTCCAGACATCTATACCTACAAGAGAGTGACACAGACACGCGACTCAAATGTCTGCAGGAACAGATCAGACAATAATGCTTTGTAATAGATAAGCCAATTAGACAGGTATCTACTGTTTCTAAAGCCATTCTACCTTTTTTTGTTTCACTGCAGATATTTTTCTCAACATTTTTCCCAGCTATTCTTCAGCCTGATTGGTTTTTAGCCTGCTAGAGATTTAAGATCTGTATGGATATGCACAAACATATGATTTCCAAGCAAAGTGAGAGCTTGTGGCATGCTACTATGTCTATAGCTAAAAAATTACTCCTACATTTTCTTTTCATAATTAAAAATATTACCTATAAAGTGTGATAATCAAAGAAAGAAACATCGGATGACAGGGAGCAGGCATAGCATCAGAAACATCTTTTAAGTCTTTTGCTGAGGTCTAGCAGAATTTGGGTTTGAGAGTGAGTGGTGTCTGCACAGAACCATGAAAACATTTTGTTTCATCACAAAGGATTATCTGTTGGTTTTGAGTACTATGTAAATTTTCCACCGAAAAGATCTACCAGCTGAATTACTCTCTTGAGGCCAGAGTCACACTTCATTATTTGACCAGAATATTGTTTCATGTTTAGATGCAGATGGTTTTCAATTACATATTTTGTTTGCCCAGGGGAAACTTGTTATTCTGTATTTTTGTATTAGCTCTTTCATATCTATAGTTCCTTGAGTCTTTGTTTACTAAAAGAAGATAGATAACTTATTTTATCCTAATCAGGAATAATATTTAGTCATTAATTAAATAATCAATTTACATTTAACAGAGGTTCCATTTACATACTGCACCTTCCAAATATAAAGGCATCTTGAATTACCATCCTATCCTGAACAAGTTTATTTTTCTGTTCAAGAAAGCCTTCTCTGCCATGTCAATAGGAAAGCTATGTAGCCAGGCAGAAAAGTAGTGGCGTGGAGGCAGTTGGCTGGATTAATTGTTGGTGGGTGTAGGACCACTACTATTACGTTGCTCTACTAATACTACAGCAAAGCAAATTTCTTCTGTCAGCCTGACTTGCCTTTTTTATTTATTTCTTGTAAACTGTCCAGTTTAGAATAAAAGACTGCTCTCGGTAATACCCATGGATTATGAAATGAAATTGGGCAGTGTGGCAAATGCAGTTCATCTTTGGCATGATTAACGTTGGTGGCCCTGAATGCAGAACCTGCAAAAACATGGGGCAAAGTCACACTGAGGGTAGAGAGGCAGCAGTCAGAGTAAGATGAAAAAATGCCATTTATAGCGGCAGAAAGATATCTGAGAGTAGGGTGTGAGATTGGAGCTCCAGAGACTACGATGGGAGCTGCAAGATGACAGTGATAGGGCTCAGTATCTTACACTAGGTCTTAACACCCAACACTCCTTTGTTAGAACAATAGTCGGAAATGCACAATTAACTGCTTCTTGTAAACATAATTTATCTGAGAAGATCTGTGTTTGACTTAAATCCATTGTATGGTTTGTTTACCCTCACCCTGGCCTCTCTTACACCAGAAATTTATACTACCTTCCAGAAATGTACATTACCTTCTACATGTACATATCAGCAAACCTCCAAGGAAAATCAGGAGAAAAAACAACGTGAGGCTTAGCAGCATGACGTCCACTGCCTTTTCTTAAAAAGAAAAGGGAAAGGTAATGTTAATAATGTGGGAAAGGGTAGTTCATAAACAGATGAATTATATATTGACTCATAAATATTGCACTATTCCTGAACTGCCACAGATTTAAAGAAACATTTCCTGCAGCTTTTTTAGGGGAAACAGGGGCTTCTGACTTCAGCACTGTTCCTTCTTTCTCCTTTGAGCTCGCAGCCTTGCTGCTGCCTCGATTCAGCACTTTCCCTGGCTTCCTCTGCTCCAGTGGACTCCATCGCCTCCTTTCCCTGGATTTCTGCTCTTACACGCTGGGCATGGCGTGTTCTGCCACTGGACACTTCCATCCAGCCTTGATTCCTCTGGATATCAAACCCTCTGTCCATCCACTATTGACTGACATCCACTCCTGCTGCTGCCCCAGCTGTTTCTGGATTCCTGCTGTTGCCACCTCCCATCTCCACACACCGTGAGCCCCCTGCCACTGCCTCCTCACCCCTTCGCAGCTGTAACTGGTTTAAGGCAAAATGAAAATAAAAGCTTTTTGTCAAACAAAATATTTGCTGCCTCCTCCCCTTCGCAGCTGTAACTGGTTTAAGGCAAAATGAAAATAAAAGCTTTTTGTCAAACAAAATATTTGCTTTGACTCAAGAAGCAACATTTGGTTTTCATTATATTTACCTTTTTTAAGCCTGCTAGGCATAGTCCTAAAGAAATGCCAGCAATACATATTTACACTGTTCAACAAATACTGCTGCTCTGTACCTTGCATTCCTTCCCCCAAAATACCCCAAATACTGAAAAGCAATGTCTTTGGTTGACTCAAAAATGTATTTTCAGCAAATTTTATTTTTTGTTTAATACCTAGCTTTAGAACCAGAACTAGTTTGGACTGCTTTGAACTAAGTACTTTGAAGAAAAACAAGCAGGAACAGCTCTTAAAACGTTAATAGTCCGAGGCCAGTTACACAATGGTTTTAGGATCAATCTAGATCAAATTCAAAGAACAAAGGAATTGTACAAAAGTTCCTAGTTTGAACCCATCTGTAGTTTAAGCCAAGGATATTATGAATTTCCACAAATTTGATATGAAACCAAGAAAAAACTCACAAACCTCTGGACAGAACTGTGTAGAAGAATATGTACTACTAAAATACGAAACTATTCTTTATTCACTTTAAGATGAAAAGGGAGTTTTTCTTTCCTTGTCTTTTGAGATGAGGGCTCAGAATATATATTCTGAACAATCTCTGGACTGTGTAGTAGAAATTATTTTATTTGAGGTAATTGTTCTGCATCATTCTGCTAACCCCATATCACGTACACACCTGAGAGAAGAGGAAGCAGTGGTCTTTACATCAGCCAGACCACAAAGAGGTTTGGTTATCTTGCTTTCTTACCTCATGCATTTTGGAAAGGAGGAAGAAAAAGAAGGACATATATTCTTTTAGGTAGACCATTTTATGGTGGGTCTTTTTCAGATGTAAATGTTTCAACTTAGTCACAAATAACAGTACTTTGAAACCAAAACAAATGGCTTGGTTTGCAAAAATGCAGAACACCTCTGAATTACTATTAACTTCAAAGCAATCTATGAATGCTCAGCAGATCTAAAAACTAGACCAATTATTTCAAGTTTCTATATATGAATAAAGCTGATCAAACATTTCTTTTTTAGCAGAAAGTTTCTATACTAAACAGCCCAGTTCAGTTTAAATTGTGGGGTTTTTTCAAGGGCATATGCTAATTCCAATGGAAAATGAATGTGTTTCCCATGAGAAAATTAACAAATTCTTTTCATGTCAAAGGAATATTTCAGAACAAATATTTTAGTTATGTTTTGAATTATGTTATTTCATTTTGATGTTTCAGCTTTTTCAAATGGAGGCTGAAATGCTTCTTAAAAATGTGTTCTTAAAGAAATGTAGCACATTTCCTAAATGAAACATTGGAATGTCATGTAGAAGCAAACAAAAAGCAGGTCATTGCACGCTCCTCCAAGGTTTTCAGCAGAAAAGTTGACACATTCCAAAATAAAAATACTGAATGCGTGTTTTTCCTTTTAAGTTACTCCACAGAAAGATTAATTTTTTTCAATTCACTGTGTCTGTGAAATTAGGTACCTGACTGTCATGGAGTTACCATGAGTGATACTACTAATAACAGGCTTTTTTTAATCTAGGCAATATTAAAATGCACTTCATAATGTCCACTTATACATGTTCCCAAAATAAAATGGGCAGAAAACTTTCTCTAGGCATCAAAGGAGATGTTTAAAGAGGTTTGCCTGAGCATGTGATCCCTCGATGTAATATATTCATAGATAGATTCATATTATAGAAGCCACCCATCCTTTCCGAGTACAGGAAGGAAGAACGGAAATTGCCACATTACATGAACTTGCGCATATGTGCAATATGCTCAAGGGGCAAATCAACATGCTGCACTGAACACATAGAGGTATTACCGCTTATATGCAACGGTGGCATTGTCTACCATAAACTTTTCTGAAGCGAAAGAAACAAGCTGCGATAGTTCAGCCTCAACAACAGCTGTAGCGGAAGTTGGGAAAGCAGCGGTGTTGAAAACAGTTGAAGGAGAGTTGCAGCTGCTGAGAGCAAAGTTTGGTAGACTGGAACCAGGATGGGTGACTGTTCAACTCCATTTCCTTCTTCTGGCGAAGGCCTGGCAGGGAGCAGGTAAACCTACATTCCCCCACCAGGAAAAGCCCTTCTAATTTCCCCTCCCTACACTGTGCACACATCAGATGTGTCCGACCTGACACCAGGCAGACCCCTCTGCTGGCCGTGCCACGGTCCTAGGCTCTCTCTGTCTTCAGTGAGAAGAAAGAAGCATCTCCAAAGGGCAATTCAAATCTCTGATGGGCTGAAACATGTTCTCTCCTTCACCACAGTGAGCGTGTGGAGCAACTAGGTTTCTCTCTCCAAGCATTTCACAAGTGAAATGCTTTTGAAATGAAATTAATTAATCTGGGCCAACAAAGGTGGCAGCTGAAAGGTGCCAGCAGAACAGTGGGATGTGGTGAGGCATCTGATAGAGTAGGCAGGCAACATCCTACAAATCCTGTAACTGAATTTGCATTCAATCCATTGCAAAAATAACAATGTCTGGCCTTGTATTTCCCATGTCTTCAGATAAATATGTACTTGAAGCTGAATAGACCAAAAAGACGTATTTCAAAATACACAGTCTGTTGCATTAAATAAAGATATTTATCTTGTTTTGTTTCATTACCAGTAGTATTGTACTTTTTTTTTTGCATGTCAACGTACAGAGACAAGTTTATGTACCAGTTTCTCTCCATAAATATAGAGTGTCACTCCATTATACTACTTTTCCTTTACCTAACCTGACATCAAGAAGCTGCTGCATGTGGAGGCATTTTTCTCATCACGGAAAGCAGAAGTTTCCCTTGTTAGCACATGAATGTTAAAATCTAGTCATAAGAGGTGAAGGAAAAATATTACAAGGTTCTCATTTAATTTGTGCTGAAGTGAGCTGTAGGAGCCAGAGCACACATATTTAAATCAGAGCTAAACCAGTTCTTACCTCTGTCAGATAAGAAATTATTCCCCTGATGTAGTAAAAGAAATGTTAGACTTAGTCCTTAAGGGCTATGTGATTTGATGAATATTATGACTTTTGTGGGTTTCTTGGCTTACTAACTCCAGCTGAAAGCATTTGTAGAGGTGCTTGGGCTGTCCATTGCAGGGCAGGCAGGGGGGTGTTGTGAACTTTTTGGCTGCTGACCATTTTTGTTTTCTAAAGGCTGTCAAGAGTCAGATGTAACTTACCTCAGGAGAACAGCCCTGCGCTAGACTACGTTAAGACCAAGGAAGTACAACTCATTAGACCAAGGACTGCCTTTCCCTACAGCACCTAGAGCTGGTGTGTGCCTGGTGGGTGCCATGGACCTCTAGGTACTGCTACAGTACAATAATACAGCAAGGAGAAGAACAGACATAGTAATGAAGGAACTATGTTGAATAGTAATAACATATCTAATGATAAGAGTTATGAATGGTAAATACATGATAACTCACCATCGTGAATAAACACTGGTTCACTCCATTCACTCCAAATCTTGTTTCTTATGCATATCTCTTTCTTTACCCTCACTTGTGCTGCACATTTTTTTGCTGGCTTATGAAACGGGTACTCATATTTCTCTGCAGTGACATCTACAATCTATCAAGATAAGTTTAGGGGGCTGTTTTAGGTGATTTCACATTGCAGTTCAAACTGATATAAATCTAAGGATGTCAAATACTATTGTTTACATCTTAAACCTAATAGGAAGAGATTTTCAGAACAAATGTTTATGTCCAGACACAATCTGACTCTTACCTGGCATGTGTTAAAACTCAGGACTGAAAATGAAGGAGAGCCTAGAACTGATAAGATGAAAGGAGGTATCAGCTATAGTAGTACAGTATGAATTTGAAAACAGATTCCCCTTTCATTTTTTATCACACCAAGTGTAGGATGTAACTATGAAACTGCAAGTTTCAAGGTTTTGGTGTGGGCAGTGTGCTATACTTGGTTGTCTGGTAGAATAAAAGCTTGCATTTTTCAGCTCACTGGTGGTGAGGGATGCCCACTATTTTAGTGACTATCTTGAAACGTCTTTAATTGTGCCTATAAAAGAAAGCATGTAACTTCAAAAGATCAAGCCCATAACAAGTAGTGTCAGAGTTTAAAACAGAGGGATCTCTAAATCATTCATCACTTTTGAAAACTGAAGTCAACTGCTGTAAAGAAACAATGCTAAGAATTTAAGAAGGAACAAAAAAGAAAGCAGGAGAAGAAACTCCTGCTTATAACAATTAAAAATAATGTTAGGACATTGCAAAATAGTACAATGTATGCATCAGACACAGAGGGGCCCAGAATCTTTGCATCTTTGGTGTTAGGAAAACATGATGAGGTATATTATAAGGCCAGCTTTAAGAAAAGGTGACCTCCTTCTCTCCTCGTACTGACCAGTGTGCAGTGTGGATTTGACCCTGGCATTTCTTTCTCTTCCTTTGTAGTCTTTAAGACCTTTCCAGATCTGACGTCAAAAATAGGTCCAAAAGTTCACATGCTAAGTTTTTCAAAAGTAAGTAAAAATGGGGAAAGTCTTTGGGATTTCAAAAGTAAACTGCAAGTGACTATGAGGGTTAAGTGCTGACAAAATGCTGTGCCTGAAGGTTTCTTCCTAAGGAGCAAATAATAAGCTTATGTCATCATAGGAAATTTCCAAAATGCAGGACTGAAAGGCTTCTTATAAAATTACTTAGGCCACCTTCTGGTAATCATGACATGCAGCAGCTTTCAGTCACATCTACCTAGACCATTCCTGGAGGATGTTTGTCTAATCCATTGTCGGTAACTCTATACAGAGCCACCCCCAAGCAGCCTCAGAAATCTGTTCCTGTGCTAAACTTTCCTTGGAATTAGGGCACTTTTCCTAACTTTTAGCATATGTTTTCCTTGCTTTGATTTTAGCCGGTCACTTTTTATCCTACTCACCAGTTGACATGGGTAAGTATGATCCCTATGTTCTTATTAACAACCTTTTACTTACCAGAAGATTGTTAACACAAGTTACACTCCTTTACTCTACACCATATCCTTCAGTCTTCCACTCCTAGAGCACGTTTTCAAAGCTTATGCTCATTTTGATAACTCTCACTGATCTTCTCTGAACTTTTTTCCAATAGGTTTATATTTTGTGGTGGTGCCCAAAGCACAATTTGAAACTTCAGGTGAAACTCAGTAGCTAGAAGGGTGAATTAGTCACAACGTACATCTTACATGTGACATGCCTGTCATATATACTTGCCTAACATTTGACCTTTATGTAATAGCATGGAATGATTGACTCAGCTTGTGGTTCAATGTAATCCACAGACCTTTTTTTCTTCTGCATTGCTGCCTACACATTAATTCCTTATTTTGTTTTGGCACATTTGACCTGTACTTCCTAATCATAGGATTTTCCTTATTACTGAATTTTGGCTTGTTGATTTCAGCCTTACCCAACATTTCAATTTCTAATCTTGTTTCCCATAGTACTTGCCAACCCTTCCTATCTTCCAGTCACCTGCAGACTTAACTCCCTATTTTCAAGATTTATCAACCTGTATCACAGTATTATTATTTGTATAAGTATTCAGCAGGTCATCTCTTCAGGTATTCAGAATAAATAAATATAGACCTGTATATTTTAATCATTATACTCTTACCTGTTCTTCAACAAATATCTACAAGTCTGCTAACGGATACCCTAATACCTCAACTCATTAAGTCTGTGACAGCAATTAAGACCTTGCTTTGACCAGGAAAGAGAATCTCAGTCTTTCTCCGTTATTCTCCCTCCTGTGTCTCCTGTAATACTGCTGCAGTTTTCTTACTTAGCCTCTCCCCCCGCCCCCCGCTTTTTGTGCTCCTTTTGGCTAGGTCTACCGTCTTAATCACTACTAGCTTTGACACTGATTCTCCTCAAATCTACCTTAAAGCCCCCTCTGCTGCCTTCACATGTCTTTTTGTTGTTGTTGTTGCAGATGCCTGTCTCCTGTCTCCATCCCATCTGTGGAAAAAAACCCCATGACCCATGACTGCTGTAGGTGTTTATTCACTTCCATGCCCAAATTATTTTTCTTTGCTTTCCTTTCCTATGTTTATATCCTGCAGATGTGTACAAAACAGAGGAGCAGCTGGGTAAGATACCTGTTCTTCAACAAATATCTACAAGTCTGCTAATGGATACCCTAATACCTCAACTCATTAAGTCTGTGACAGCAATTAAGACCTTGCTTTGACCAGGAAAGAGAATCTCAGTCTTTCTCCGTTATTCTCCCTCCTGTGTCTCCTGTAATACTGCTGCAGTTTTCTTACTTAGCCTCTCCCCCCGCCCCCCGCTTTTTGTGCTCCTTGGCTAGGTAACTACCGTCTTAATCACTACTAGCTTTGACACTGATTCTCCTCAAATCTACCTTAAAGCCCCCTCGTTTAGCTGCTGCCTTCACATGTCTTTTTGTTGTTGTTGTTGTTGCAGCTGCCTGTCTCCTGTCTTCCCAAACCATCCCATCTGTGGAAAAAAAACCCCATGATTTTCCACTGCTGTAGGTGTTTATTCACTTCCATGCCCAAATTATTTTTCTTTGCTTTCCTTTCCTATGTTTATATCCTGCAGATGTGTACAAAACAGAGGAGCAGCTGTGTAAGAGAAGAAAATTAAGAGGTTTATTCCATTTAAGTAAGGATTCTGGACCATTTTATGTATTTGACATTTCCTTCCAGAGAGTGGAAGGTGTTAGGAAGCTGGAAACAGGGGCTGCAGTGGCTGCATGAACACTGTAGATTGCAGGATCCCCCTGCTCACCTTGGCCACATCCCAGCCCCACAGTGGGAGGGGACCCCTTACTCCCGGCCCTCCCCGCTTCCACCTCCCTTGCTCTGGGTCTTCAGACACGAAGGAAGTCTGCGTGCATGGGCAGGAAGGGATCAGAAGGGCCCCAGCACATGTCTGAACAGGATACCGAGGATCCAGCATGAACCTCCCTTGCTCCCTCTGCTCACAGCCTTTAGTCATAATGAGCTTTGTGAATGGACAGGCGCAAGCCCCCGGCTGTCTCTGGCAGGGGTTATGAAATATTAGACTTGGGAATGGTTAAGGGGATGATAACTATTTGCAGAGGTGGCCTAGAAGGAGGCTACCTGTCTTTCTTCTGGAAAAACCCAAAGAGAACCGGTAAGCTTTGGCATGTCCACATACGGACCTGAGCTCCTTTTCCGCGTGCTGCAATGAGGGAACGTGGAAAGAGCCAGCCCTGTTCTGGAAGGTGCCTAGCAGTATTAGCACTGCACCTGAATTAGTAAACCCTGCTGTAATTTATGAAGATAACATTATTTGATCAATAACGTGTCTACCGCATTACACTTCTCCTTTCTGCTGTGTCTAACAAAGAGTGGATGAATATCAATTTAGTCATATGTTCTTTCAGGCTTTAATTGTCTCTTGAATGTTTGCAGCCAGCTTAGATAAGCCTTTTATGTTAGAGTACTGTACACAGACTGAGGTGTGTGTTAGCTAAGATTTAGGTTCTTACAGAAAAACACAGCTTCAAAGAGAGCTTGAATGAAAACACCAAAGATTCAGAAAATTCACATTCCAATACACATCTGAATTTCATACCTATCGTATTCTGAATTAAGTCCTTGGCTTTCTACTCTTTGGGAGTTCAGACGAGAATCTGCATGAAAACTTTTCAGCTCTTATTTCCAGGCAATTTAAAAATGCCACCTGGTAATGCCAGGTGGCAGTTAGTCACCATACAGCATAACCTAAACTATCACACTGTTCTGTTTCTTACTGGTAAAACTAAGAGGAGCTGCTGATACATCATGAAAGATTTTTAAATATATATAATGTATACAAACAACTTTTAGTGAAGTATGTAGAAATAAAAACAACAACATGTATTTTTTTCTTAAAAAATATTATCAAAGTAGCTGCTAAACTTTTCATCAATACTCATTTTTCAATGATAAAAAAGTCAATAATCTATGTGATGCTAACGTACAATTCAAATTCAAGATGAAAAGAAAAAAACAACCAATCCACCTCAATGTAAGCATGACTCTGAAAGACTTCAAAAAATGTGTTGATTTTTCATTTTTGACCAGAAAGACAAGAAAACTTGGATTATTCATGAAAGACCTTGGGATTTCTTTAAAGTTTGTTTGAGTTTTAATTCTGTTGAATTCAAGGGATGCCTAGTTTTTATGGAAGTTATATTATACAGATTAAGTGTATTACCAAAAAGCTGATTACCTTACGATCTGTTATTTTCACTTGATACAAAAAGCACTTGTTACTCGCAGAACCAATAGTAGGCGGGGGTTTCCAGTGAATTTTAATACTTCTGCTTTCAAGGGAAACTGAAATGTTGATCGGCGGGTTCAGTTTCTCTGAAAAAAGAACAGAGTGACCTTCTGTACCTCATGTTCTTTGTCAAATTTATGCTGATGCAAAATAAACGTAGTGCGTTAGTCCTTAAAATACACAGCTGACTATTTTGGAGTTTATCACACCCAAAGAAGGCATTCGGTGAGTGACACATTTTCTTTAAAAGTGCTGCTCGCTAAGTGGCATCCATTTCTGTCTCAAAATAAAGAGAGGGAGGGGGGGTTTTGTCACATATTTTTCCAGGGAAGGTAGTGAGGGTGGGCAGGAGGAACAGACCCTTTGAGTTCACTTTCCACAGTCCAGGGGTATGTCGAGGAGACCTCTGATCTGCTACAGGCTCCCTGCCATGTAGGATACATATGTCCTGTGGGATACCCCAAGTCTGCCCTTAAGCCTGGTAGTATAACTTTGAAAAAAATTGAATTTCATCTCTCACTGAGGGGTTACTGAAGGGGTACCAGCTCCTGGCAGGTCTTATTCAATATATGAAGTTTGCTACAGATGCTGAAAAAATCTCTCTACCTCTCCAGTAAATGAGCAGGCAAGCACTTGCTATGGAAGAAGCAAGACGTGCTTGGGAGATGTAAACAAACAAACAAAAAATCCCCCTCCTGCCACTGTGCTCCAGTCACAAAGTGCAAGGAGTGCCATGGCAATGGGTTTTTTTTTAGGGAGGGACGAGGTACAGGGTTGGAAGCAAGGGACATTTGGGTTCCCAGGATTTTAGCCTTTGGTTCAGATAAGCAAGTCTACAGTTGCTTTTTAGCATGGTGTTAGGGCACTGATCCTAGGTGTGTGCTGGAATACTCAAGCAGCCTGAGCCCGCTCCAGCTGCTGTTGTGTTGTTCTGAAGGGAGGAACCGCAGCTGGAGTTTTCCAGAAAAGCCCTCCCAGCAGAGGCAGAAGTGCACGGCAAGTCTCTATGGACAGGGTCAGTGAGGTCTGGGGCTGACATGGCTGCAAGGTGGTGCCAGAGGGAGAGGACAGAAAGAGAGAGAGAGGGCAAGTGGCAGCATTACTGGTCCATGAAGATGTTGTGTTTGCTCTAGCAGCTGCTGCTGCATGACCCTGTCTCTCTCCACGGGTGTGTATGTCACGCTCAGGTTTCCTTTTTGTTTTTTCATTTTCCTTCACTTCCTTGAGAAGTCTCCTCTCTTTGTGTAACGATCCCATAAAGTTAGAAAAAACATTTCTCCCAGGGCTACCTCAGGCTTGTAAAACTGTTTGCTTCTGCCTGTCCCCGAAGCTGTTGGCAGTGACCAACACCTGCCTTTGAGGGTGGAGGCACACCATGAGCCATGAAAGGTGAGGAGAGTAAGCAACAGCTTTTTTTTCCTTTGGTCTGTGAAGTAGGAAAGACATATTTTTTACCTCTGAAATACTATTCCCAGAGCATCTCTCCCTTCTCTGAGTATACCCAGAGTAGGAAACAATTTTTTTTCACCCTTTTGTCACCTGTCATCTGGAAATTTCTTTAATCCCCACACACAGACAGCCAGGACTGAGTTATTTTTGGGCTGCGTCCAGCATGAGTCCTGTTTTCTCAGACCATGCATCATGTTACTAGAGGGAAGATTAGATTGCAGGGGCCGGTAACTCGCAGGAGGACAGTGGACCTCCAGGACCGTGCAAGGGCTAGGCTGGCTAAAGCCCAGCTGGAGGCTTTCCTGTTGAAGAAGGGGAGCCCAGATACAAACAAGCCTTTTTGATGTGTGTGACCTGAAGGGTAGAACCACCTTCTCAAGAGGGAGAAGACAACCCTGGCTTGCAACGTTGGAGCCTTGCAAGAGTAATTGCATTACTTACAATGTGAACAATGACGTCCCTTTCAAGCTCACTTAGACTTTGCTGTGCCCTACCAAAGCCTGGCAATGGGTTTTAAAGGCAAGGCAAGCTAACAGGATTTATGCCTGGTGCTGAGACAGGAGAGGAAGCTGTTGGCTGAGCCAGCTATGACTGGCGTGCACGCTGATGATGGCTAAAGATAGTTAAGATGGGAAGGAAAGAAGGGCAGGGAGGAAATGCTGGCAGTCTGGCCTCTGCAAAGAGAAGGCAGTGGCCGCCCTCAACAGGAGGAAGAAGATCAAGTGGATGGAGAGAGAAACAGGGAAGGGACAGCCTGCTCCCTCCTACTTATCCCCCTCTGCTCACTCCTGCCCACCTCAGCCCCGTGCTCCCCGGGGAGGCCCTGGGCTGGGAACGTTGCCTGAGGAGTAGCAGAGGGGTGGGAGAAAGCGTGAAACTGCCAAGGTGGGGCTGGGCAAGCCGTCAGGAGGTTGTCAGGCAAATTAGAGTAGTTCAGGCTTCACCTCTGAACATTACGTGAAATCTTTTGTTGCTGTGTGAAGCATTTAATCCTAAAACTGGATGTACTATGGCAGCTCTCTGCCCCGGAGTCTGTGGGTGGGATCAGACCCTGGCAGCCAGTCTGGAAGTGAGCATCTTCCCCAGTCAGCTATGAAAACACCTAATACAGTCTTCCTGCAGATTAGTTCCACCCCAGCCCCCCCTTTTGTTTTTTGTTTTTTTCAGGAAAATCTGGTTTTCTTGAAAATGTTTTATTTTGCTAAAACAGAACATCTTGCTTATAGCTGGCTCTGACTACAGTGTAAATCTTTGGATAAAGCAAATAATTCTAAAGTGTTAGAACAGAATAAATGAGATCTAACTCAGAATAAATTCTGATAGTTTTGAATGACTTTTTTGCTATCCCTTGAGTTATGACTGATTCCTATGTTACAGGTCTGGAATATGATCAACATGTTCATAATTTAAAAGGTATTTGAATCTGCAGTCTGTGCTAAAACTCAGGTGCTTTGGATAAAGCAAATAATTCTAAAGTGTTAGAACAGAATAAATGAGATCTAACTCAGAATAAATTCTGATAGTTTTGAATGACTTTTTTGCTATCCCTTGAGTTATGACTGATTCCTATGTTACAGGTCTGGAATATGATCAACATGTTCATAATTTAAAAGGTATTTGAATCTGCAGTCTGTGCTAAAACTCAGGTGAATTTCTTCCCCATGAGATTAATCCAAACTTCCCAGAGAAGTAAGGAAAAATAATTTTATATGATCATTCAGAACTGTTGATAATTAAAAATCACTGTCAAAGTATTTTTAACTGAAAAATGGTGTCAGAAATGGAAATGTTACTAATGTTTGCATTATATATTCATAATCTTAAATTCAGTTAAATTCAGTTATGAATGACACTTGTGTCTCTTTATGTTCCTTTTTTAAAATCACATTTTCTTCAGCACTATAAAAGAAAAAGAAAAGGATAAGAAAGAGAAAAACTGGAGAAAAGAAGGGTATAATTCTTTTCAAATTACATTTTCTCACACTAGCCTATCAATTTTTTTAAAAATGCCAGTTATAGATAAACAATGATATTACATCAGAGAAAAAAATAAAAACCTTTGAGAAGTCATCCATTTTATTTAATCTTTGTGTAAAATTCCCAGCAAGATGAATGCATAAAAAGTTAGACTTAATATTCTGAATTTGTCACACTTCCCTCTTTCCTTCCTCTGCTTTCCATACCAATGAAATAACGAATAAACAAACTTTTCATAATAGGTAATAATAGACAATACTTACCTATTCTTTGAGGTGTAAAAGCTTTGTAATAAGACAGTCCTCTTGATTTATTTCTCAGATCTCTTACCGTTATGTTTAAATTGATTTTTCTTGATGGTTGGAAATACATTTCTTTCATATGGCATCCAATATTTTTCTTCCCTGCATTTTTTATATATTGCTGGCATTCAAAATCTTTTCCTACGTGTCTGTGAGAAGGAAATATGAGTCTTGTAAATCAAGGACTTAGGTACAAAAACATGGTTTCATACTTATTTTGCACAAGATCCTTACCTGTATGAAAAAAAGATCTGGATATCTTCAGGAGCTTCTGCTTTAATATGCCAGATGCAATTGAAAGAAGAAATGTTATATATGATGCATGAAAGATTCTGAATATATACTGCAACAAAGAAAGGGGAAAAAAGAAAGAGTGATGTTTACTTTACATGGATTTTCTAATAACAACATGATGGTTGCCTTTACAAACCCATTATGTAGCGTTATTTCTAGAAGCGTGAGTAAGTGGTAGGTGAGAACAAACGGGTCTTTCGGCTTTTTGGACAATGACAACTGAGAAGCACATCTGCTACTACCACCAAAAGCCTTACTAATCCACTTAAAGAAAAAAATGTCCAGAGAAGTAGTTGAAAAGCTCTGCTCTTTTAAGATTTCCTGAAACCAGGTGATACAGAAGGCAATCTTCAAGACATATGAGTTGCTAGGGAAAATGGAGAGAGTGGTTGGGTTATTCTGACATCTTGCTCAGCAGAGCTGGAGTTTTCTGAATCTGAACATGTCTAATAAAGGAAATAATTCTGTAATATTCCAAGGTGTTATGTGTCATCTTCTTAACAAATCCGTACCAAAAAGGTAGCATAAGATAATAATGAGCTTTCAGAAATGATATGTCTCCAAGTAAGACAGAACATTATCATGAACGCTTGGATGTCTTAACAACATGTAGGAAATAGCTGACCTGGAGGTGCCTTGTAAGTAAATTCTGTCCAGCCACTCTCCTTAATTACGTCTTCTGTTTCTTTTGCAAAAAGTTGTGTTTTAACTTTGGCATTAAAACCAGAATGTAACTCAAGACGTATTATCTTTTTCTTCCCCTGCAGTCTTTCCTAAGAGGAGGAAGAAGGAATTGCATGAAGGTAGATGGTACTAAGTATTGAAAGGGGAATTATGCGAATTCACCTACTGAATGAAGTAATACATGATTTCACTTTAAACTATGTGTAACCATTGAAAACTTACTTTCCTTTCATAAGTGGTATTGAAGAATTTATAACTTAAGATATACTTCACAGTGTACTTCTCAGTTTCTTCTTTTGTCAGGTTATTGTTCCAGGACAGAATAACTCTCGACTCATGCTTGGTAATCCGCAGAACATTATGTAGTCCAAGAGCATCTGCAATTACAATGAAATTACATAGAGAAAGAGAGGGCCCACGACTGTGTGCCCAAAGGATTTGGCTCTCACTAAGGCTTGCATACCTAGTAGCTCCCCCAGGAGCTCTGTTCTTACATGAAGCAGGTGGTTGCTGAGCTCTGTTGACTATGACTGACTTTAGTAGTGAGATTCATGTTTACCTATCTGCAGCTCCCAAAATTTTAGGTGATTCACTTTTACCTGTCTTGGACACCCCTCCTAGCACAGGTCTCTTTCTCTCTATGGGCTGTAGAAAGTGCCTTGACAACAAATTCAGGTTAGACATCTGGGATGGCTGGCATAGGATGAACTGTTACTTAATATTTTACTTACCCACTACATCTGGTTGTCCACTTGCCAGGCTAGTGGAAAATAATGCCTTACGCTGGAAAAAACTTAATATCAGCATGACAGGAACGACTGTAACACGTGCCATAGCAAATGCTTTAGTTCCAAGTTTGGTTGAAAAAGCACTTAGAACACGATGTTTTCATTTTGCATCTGTGAAATAATATGAAACAGTCACTTAACCACTTAAGTGGTGTCTGAAGTATAAGAAGTAATAGGTCTTGTTGATCGGTGCCTTCTATTCCCAGGATGTTTGTATTTAAGCCCACTCTTTAACTGGGTGCCAGGGCCAAAGAGGACAGGTGTGCCATGCTAAGCTGGTTTTGAATGACAGTACTGCTTAGATTGCAAGGCAAGACCACAGATACGACACTATTGATACTGAAAGCAGACAGTTTGGGTAGGAGCCACCTGGCATAACTCTGGCTAGATACAAAGCCAGCAGCTGTAACTGCATGAGTTGTCTAGCCTCTAGTGGCAGTAGAGCAACTGTCACTTCTAGGTTGTGATTCGTGTTACCTGGTTTAGGTATCTGCTTTAGGAGGATATGAACTGTAACCATCTGAGGAGAGATGAATCTTGCCATTTGCAAAAGTAACTATCAGCAAGAGTATATCAGGTGTTTGCTAAATTTGGGATACAGTGAGAAAACAGATTCTGCGTTGGTCAAAGTTGGTTTTAGAAAGACATAATTGCTGTTTTATGGCTGAGCATTCATTCAAAGGTTGCTTTAATGTAAAACAGCCTCTGAGACCTTACCAGTTCTCCACAGAATTAATACGTCTCTGTGTTCAGGGTCTTTCACTCACAAACTAACTGATTTATCTTGACTCTGATTGTTTTCAATACTAAATCCTCACACACACTCTGTATGTGTTACCCAGGGATCAGCAAAAGGACCCCTGGAGCCATATCAAAATGTTCACAATACATTGACTAACAAGAGGCACTGGTCATGTAGAGGAAAATGTGTGAATGTTCAGCACATCCAAAAAATCTGCAATGAGGTTACCTGGGAAAAAAAAAATACACATTTATAATGCTATTTTTGTATAATGCAGTGAACAAGAGGCCATTTAATGAATGCTGTCATTATTTATGAAGTGCTATGAAAAATCATAACAAAATGCTTTAAGGCAGAGATTCCCCCACCTGGTTCATTCTGGTACCGATCTCGGCTGTAGCAACAGCAGCAGCTGCAGTATGTGTGCCACACCATGCACATGACAAACAAAAAAAGTGAGTAAATTCTGCTTGGTGTGCCCGGGAAAGAAGTCATTTCTAATTGCCTGGAGAGGGAAGGGGTGAGATGTTCGTACCCTCACTTCTCATTAATGATGTCCCTGGAATGGTAGGGCGCGTGGCAAAAGTCAGGGAAAATATAAAATGAAAACAAGGAGCTTTCAAGGGTTTATAATTCAACATGCAGTGGCTGTAAAGGGCTTATCCACTCCCATGAGATGGAGCAATCAAAAATAGTCCTGTATGTATATACTTTATTTAAATTTGGAGAAAGGGAAAAAATGAGGATGGAAAACACTAAGCAAGTTAAAATATTTGTGGCTGGTGGGGAAGGGGGGCGCTG